TATTTGAGGCCCATAACGATAACCTTTAATTCTTTGATCTGGGGGGACAACTTTGTCATGATCTTCAGAACTCTTGTATTCATAATCTACTTTGACTTCATGTGTGGCATATTTATCATTTGGAGGAGCCTTATCAGAATATTTCTTCAGAGTAGGAAATTTCTCTTCTGCTGTCTTCTTGTATACCATCACCTGATTATCATTAAAGATTTTATGAAAACATAGAAATGTAATATTTGAAACTTTTATGTATGTATTGCATTTGACACAAAGGTCTGAATTTATACAAGTATATAGGAATCTATATTAATTACAGAATATTACCAAATAAAAGTAATCCTGATATTACATTCCTAATTATTGTATCTATATATCAACAGGTCTAATTACTATATTTACATATCAACAGAAAAAAAAAAACAAAAAAAAAAAACGCATTTGTTACTAACGTTTTATTTAAAAAGCCAATTGGATAACCAACCCACTTGCAAGGAGCACCTACTTGCTAAACTGAGAAGGAAGAAAAATAAATAGAACAGATAAGTAATCTTCAACTGTAAATTCAGCACACTCATCTTGAATTTATATGCATAAATCCAAAACAAATTATATTCACTATTCTATCCATCAAATTGAAATTAGTAAATTGAGGCACCAAAATATGAAGCATGAAATAAAAGAGATATGATGTTAAATATTAAGCTGCAGATGCAAGAGAATACATTGGTTATTACCTTCCATGGTCACCTTGCCTCAAAATACTCAACTTTAATTAGAGATAAAGATCCATATTGTCCATGGAGTAATTTTAGCATTTGATGAACATTTACAGTAGAAAAAAAAGTTTGTAAGATGGCATAACAACATTAAATATCAAATTAATATGACAATGGAAATGAAAAACATACACATGGCATGATTCTGATTCATCAGCTATGATGGGTTCTATCAGATAAATGAATATAAATGACACTAAAACAATTCAATCATCAAGGGCTGGAAATTAAATTTATATATCAGACCAAATATCTCACCTTAATCCTCAGTTGTGGGCTGAATTCAAGATCCCCTCTGAAAACTGTAACTGGAGTTATATTTCGGGTTCTAAGAGCACCAAACAAAGAAATTGGATTCTCCACATACAACAATCTTGTTGACGTTTCCTTTGAAAAAATATTTAACAGGCGATCATTTTCATCCGTTATTTTCTTGTTTGCATCTTGACTAAGTTTTCCTCTCAGAATTATACTTTCCATCCTCATACCATGGACAGTCATTTGTTTAGCAATGGCAGTAACTTGATCATCCTTTGTTCCTTCATAAGGTTCTTTTATTGGACATTGTGCATTTGTAATAAGACAGAGACATTTTTTTCCCTTGTTTGTGTCTCCAAATTTTTTTATTAAGATATCCATGCCAACAATGACAGCATCAAGGACTAACATCAAAGTCAAGGTATCCAGAAAATTACAGGAGGAAAGGATCAAATTCCTCTTGGAAAATTAAATAATTAACCTTATAAAGTTTTCCATTCCTTTTATTTTAGCAAGACAAACATAATGGTGATCAGGAAAATATTAACTCACTATACCAATCATGCAAGAAAATATTGTTGACAAATATAAATGAAACAAAAGTGTTAAATGTTAATCTTGAAGAAGCAAGTAAAATGTATAATGGAAAGTCAGAAACAAATGTTTTTCTTATGTAAAGAATTAGAGATTTATAGCAAATTATTTGAAAAGGAAAATTTTAATCATAATGAAAGATAAATGGCATTAAGTAATACAGTGTAATCAGAAACACAAATCTCCAAGATTTCATAGTCTAAAAGTAAATAACTTGCAAAGGGAATGCTTTTTCCAGAAGCAACTAGTATGAAAAATTTTTAATGCAGGGCAGAACTCAAAATCATACGATTTTTTGACAAAATAAGTTAAAAAAAACAGATAATAATCAACAAGTAATATTTTCCACAACAGAAAACCAAAAACTTTGTGGATACAGTCACCATCATGTGTTCCTCGAGGCAGTAGTTGTAAGGCCTCGACAATATCTCCATCAACAACTTTAATATTTTTCAAAACCACAACATGTTGATACCCACCCACTTCCGTAGTAAGTTCATTATCAGTGTCTGATAAAAGTCAATATCAACACAGGTAAGGGATGCCTTTGATCAAACTCCACCATAAGAAAATGAATGAATTAAAGAAAACCAAAGGCATAGTAGAAGAAGGATTTTTCCAGTGGCACATTAGAGTATGAATAATAGTAACAGTAACAACAGGAAATCAAAATGGAAAAACTCTGTGTAGTCAACAGTGCAAAGATTCTATTTAGAATGAGACTGAAACACAACAAAAAAGATACTATAGGAACTTAGGAAGATCCTCTAATTTTTTAAACCCCTTTCTGCATTACGGGTAGCTAACAATTTTGAATGTAAGGAAAAGTTTGTAATCACATGACAATAAAACCAGCGATGAAACAAAAAAAAAAAGCATCAAGTCAACATGATCCACTGCATAGTAAATATTAAAGTGAGTACCTTCTGTTCCAAATAAGACAATTCCGACTTCATCATATTTGTTATGGATCAACTGTAGCAAGAGGGAAAAAAAATCATGTTCTCGAAGCACTAACCAATCATACTTCTAAATGGTGATATATGTCATAAATTCAACCATGAAGCTTATTGAGATAAGCTAAGAAAAACTTAGTTTGATAAGATATACCAAGCTTATGTAAGTAAGCTAAAAAGAGCTTACATGAATCATAAGGTATTTCCACAAGTTATTCATAAACTCTTCCAAACGGATCCAAGATAACAAAAAACTGAAACTTTGAATAGAAAAGACGGTTGGGATGATTAATACCTTCTTCTGTACAAGCATGGAACAGACTTTCTGAATTTCAGGAAGAACGGAATGCATGGATGGGCCCACATCAAGCAGCAAAACCAATGCTTCCTTTATTTTTCAGAATTTAATTATGGAGATTAAAATCAAATAAACTCTTAAGCATTCAGAAATAATGAAATTTAAATAAAATTGTAAATGGGGTTTCAGCGGAAAACGAGTAAATTAGAAGTAAAGCCCTAAACCCAGAGGAGTGAAGTAAGGAAATACAAAAGGGTATTGGAAAACAAGAAAAAACGGAACCTTGTTTCGAGCCATGGATGGGTGAAGCTTGCAGAAGAAGAAGAAGACTTATATTTTACTCTTATGGTGCCTCGTTCGTCTTCTTCTGTGTTGCCGCTTCAAAGGGTGAATTTAAAAAACCAAGTCACTGAAGAGTTGTGATGGAAACTGCACTGAGTTCAATTCATTCGTAATGTGCCCAAATATTTGCTAATGCTCCTCTTAAGTCTTGCTTTTGTCACACTTGTTCACGCTCTCTTTCTTTTTTTCTGTTTGTCTGAGGGGGGACTAACAACACACGAAAAAATAATAATAATTAAGAAATAAAAAATATTAAAAATTATAATATAACTTTAAATGTTTTAAATACTGTAATATTTATAAAAAGTTGCTATATATTTTTATTATCTATCATTAATACATGCTCTTTTTCTATAAACACACTTATGCATGGATTAAACTTGTGCAGTAATTTTTTTTCTCTCTCTTATTTCTATCCCTTCAAACAAAATATTTTTATCATCTCATTTTTCATCTATATTTTTCTCACAATTTACTTCCTTACTTATTTTATTTCTATTAATTTTCTATTTTATCTAAATATAATAGTACCTTCTTCGCCTCACATGATATATATACAGTTATAATATTATCATTTGTACAAATATAATATTATTAATTTCATGATCCTTTTAAAAATTAAATATTGAATAAATTTTTAATATAATTTTGATGTATTATTTATATAATTTTTTTATATTGTCAACCAATTAAAATATTCAATAAATATAATTTTTTAAACTAATTACTATAAAAATTAATCATTTACTTATACAATAACATGTGACTAAATAATTATAAAAATATTTTATCTTATTAATAAATTCAATTAAGTTCATAAATTTATTAATTTAATATATTTTAGAAAAGCAATTAACAATAAAATCATATTTTTATAATATTTTTTAAGTTGAGACTGTAAATTGATTCATTAATTTTTTTTGTTTGGTTTCTTTTATATATATATATCCCTTTACCCTTAATCATTAGAAGCGTTTTAAATAAGCTATTTTTATAAAAAGAGTTAACTTTATTAAAATAATTAACGTTCATTTTTTTCGAAGCAAATATATAATATATTTTTACAATTTTTTTTATTTTCTTTATTTTTATTTTACTCTTATTCACATTTACAATATATTTTTCTTCACTTTCAAACTCTAACAAAAAAAATATATCTTTTTTTTTCTCTTACTCTTCATTCATACTTTTTTTCCATTTGAATTTTAAATTTTTTATCTTTTTCTAAGAATATTTTAGTTACGTCCTCGAGTTATTAAAAAGAAATGAAAAGCTAAGCAACAGAAGTTTCATTTTATTAGATATTACTATTATTGCTTCTTTTCTTGTTTTTTTCTACAAATCAAATATTCAATTACAAAACTTACCTTTTAAAGTTAAAAAAAGTAAGTAATGATTTATAAAGACACAAATGAAGGGAAGAGGGAAAAAAAAATAAAAAAGAATATTTTTATTAGAGTCAAAGGAAATAATTATTGAAATATGAAAGAGAATAAAATGAGGGAAAAAAAAAGCAACCAACGAATTTGTAGAAATATTTTTTTTCAGATATAAAAAAAGATAAATAATAAATTTTGAAATAAATTTAATATATTTTTAAAAAAAAATAACTTATTTTAAATACTCAGAGGTTAAAATAAAATAAAATAAAAGCAAACCAAATCAAAATCAAAGTTAAATGGCAGAATTTACTAATTTAACTTATTTTTTTATCATTAATTATTATAATAAAATTAATTTTACATTCGGGCAATTAAATATAGTTTTGAATAAAAATTCAGTGGACCATATCCAAATCGGCGAAAAAATTTGGTCGGAAACGAAGAATCCCACCGACTTCCTATTGATTCATCACATGATTCACATCTCATTTTTATTTTCAGATTTCTTACATAACTTTCTGGTGGTGCGGCCAGGACACGTTCATAAACATAGTATTTAATGCTCTCAAGTTCCTTAGTTTTCTCGTATCGTCATTTTCACCTTTCAACAATGGCTTCAATGGCATCTTCATGCACTTTCTGCAGCCTCAAGTTTCCCACCAAACGCAACACTACTACTACTTCCTCTCTTCCCTCTATTCTATTCTGTCAGAAGCAGCACCATGACAACCCCACCGACCAAATCAATCGAAGGTTCTCTCTCTCTCTCTCTTTGTGCTTTGTGATGCTTATGAATCGTGCTCATCTTCTGAAATCCCTCACACATGAAATATTTTTCTTCTTGAAGAGAACTCATTTTGAGAAGCAGTGAACTAGCCACCATTGGTGCCATCTTCAACTTCAGGTACCCATCTTCTGTTTCTCTTTATTATCCTTGAAAATTTACTTTTTCATTTTGATTTGAATGTGAATTTGGATTTTTTAAGTTAAAGATTTGATTTTTATCACTTGATGAATGATGGGTAATTAAGGGTCTGTAAATGAGTGTTAAGTAATAACCTTTTATTCCTGCTTTTTCTTTAATTTATGTATAATAGTTTTTTATTGAAACAACATAATGTTGCAAAATTTAGTACATTAATAATATTTAAATATTATAATTTCTGATAAAAAATATTATTTATTAATTATTTATTACTGAGGCAGAAAATTTGTTATTTTCATTATAAATGGGTTTGGGTTTTGTGTTTTGGTGGTGCAGTGGGAAAAAACCTGATTATCTTGGAGTGCAGAAAAACCCACCAGCATTAGCTCTGTGTCCAGCAACTAAGAACTGTGTATCAACCTCTGAGAATATCAGTGATCGCACCCATTATGCTCCTCCTTGGTACAAGCTCCCTTCTTTTGCTCTTTTTAATTTTAACCTTTCTTTTATTAGGATTATTTGAAATAATTACAATTTTGTTTATTGAAGACTAAGTTAAAGTATGATGTTTAGATTTTGATTATGTATTTTATATTGGGGGCCTTAATTTTCAGTTAAGTTACCTGTGGTGTCAAAATTGCATTTTGAGGAGGATCTGCTAAACCAGATTTAGAAGATAATCAACTTGCTTGGGTTTGTTTATTTATTTATTTATTTTGGATACACAATCACTTTTTTATTTTAGTCCAAAAGGAACCAATGTTTGTGAGAATCACGTTGCAATAGACAATAGTGCACTTGGAATAATTTATCACGTTTTAAACCACGTGAAAGTAGTGCAACAGGTTTTGAGCTGTTGACTATTGAACAACATGGACTTGACATAAGTATTAGACTGTTGGTCACATGATCATTGGTCGGTGAAATTATTGCATTTTTTATTTATTTTAAAGAAATAAAATCTCTAGCTTGGTCCTTGCATATATCATGGTCCCACCAAAATCCAAACCTAATTGGATTGAATCATGGTGTCACGTTGTTTTAAAATTTTAATTCTTGTACAGGAACTATAACCCTGAAGGTAGGAAAAATCCTGTGACCAGAGAAGAGGCAATGGATGAACTGATAGATGTGGTAATAAATATAACTGAAATTATGAGTACTTTATTGCAATTTTCTTTACCTTGACAGTGGATATCAACAACGACTTTAATTTACTTCTTTTGCTCCTTTTATGTATAATTTTACAGATAGAATCAACAACACCAGACAAATTTACGCCACGAATAGTTGAAAGGAAAGAAGACTATATTCGTGTAGAGTACCAAAGTTCAATCTTGGGGGTATGAGACTATGAGTAACTTGCATCTAAGGAACTCATCATGTGAAATTCATTATTTTATTCATTTTAGATGATATCAATAGCCATCTCTAATCCCTTTTATGTCATATCCTAACAGTTTGTGGATGATGTTGAGTTCTGGTTTCCTCCGGGTAAGGGTTCTACCGTGGAGTATCGATCTGCATCTCGGTTGGGAAACTTTGATTTTGATGTGAATAGAAAAAGAATCAAGGTATGATAGTATCACACCTGTGTGCTTTCTCTCTCTAGTTTCCTATAAAGAAATTCATGGTTCCAGGGGAAAACTCCCTTTCGCTTCATATCAAGTTAAACACTTTTTGGTCAGGTTTTTATATGATTAACTAAATTTGAGTCTAAATTGGTTATTTTTATTCAAGATGAGTCACTTATTTCAACTGATGGTAAATTTAGTTAACTATACTTTGATTCCAGGGGACATAAGAATCCCTTCCTTGAATGTTTATGTGATGAAAAATATCTTGGTTGCTGACAGGCATTGAGACAAGAATTGGAGAAGAGAGGATGGGCATCTCAAGACACAATATGAGTAAACTCATGCAGGAATCACATGAGCATTTAAGCAACTATAACTAATTGAATTCAATTATATGCATCTATTGTTGCATATACTTTGTAACCTTTTATAATTTTGTATTAGACTACAAATCTCACAGAATCGTTGAAAGAAAACTTTTCTTTGATTATTGGAATTGTGGAAATTATTGAGAAAAAAAATACTTAAACTCTTTGGGATGGAATGAAATGAAGATGCTGTCCCAGATTTTCTTGGAAGTTCATTCATTGGTATACTTATTTACCCTTTCACTAAGTTCAATCTACACTGAATCGTTCAATAATGTTTCAAAAATCTTAATGTGTTTTGTTTCAGATGCAATTTTCATGATTTCACCTTTGTTGTTTACTATAATTGTTGTTTCGGATGTATGGGGTTAAAGATTTGAGTTTTAGTTTATTTTTATTTGTGAAAATGTTTTGCTGTAAATGGAGACATTTATTTGAGTTGTCATGGGATGGTTTAGGTGGTGGTTCAGTATTTAGATGGTATTAAATGGAGATGAAACCAACAAGGCTGGTTTTGGACTCTGATTGAGACCCTAGCCAAAAATAAATGTGTTGAGCATCACATAGTAGAAGATATATTTACATTGAATGCCATACTTCGCGATCCCTTTTTATACCTTTGTGGTGAGTTTAATTAATCTAACTTGATTTATTAATTCGTTAAGTTGGTCCAATAAATAAATGTAAAAAAGAAAACCCAAAAAATAAAAAAAGTGACAATTTTATCTTTACTAGTTTATTAGTATATACAATGTATATAATTTAATAATTAAAGAATTTTTATTTCATTTTTTTACATGTTTGGTCATATTCAATTTAAAATTTACTTTTGAAAGTGTGCAACACAATGTCATGCACTTTTGAAAGCATAAAAAAACTCATTCTCTCTAATTTCTTCATTTTTTAAATAAAAATACTCAAAAAATGTTTGTCACAGCATAGAGAGGGGAGTTTAGAAATTTTGGGATACTTTTATTAAGCGAGAGAGAGAGAGAGAAATTAGATGGTTGAGAAATGGAATTTTTTTTATTATATACTTTTAAAAGTATAAGACATTGTATTGCATATTTTCAAGAGTCAAGATTTAAATTGCACATGATCAAATATATAGGAAGGTAAAATAATTTTTTTCTATAATTATATATTATAAAATTATTTTAAATAATAATTTTAAAAAAATTATTTTAACCTAACTCTATAACTATGAATAACATGTATCAACGTTTTAAAGATTTAATAAAATTAAATAATTTTAAAATAATACTTTTAACTTATAATGTAAAAAAATGTTAACAATTAATATATAGTAATAAATATAAATTTGATATAAAACTCTTAAAAGTAAATTCTAAATTTAAATAAAAATAAATTTTATAAATAAAGAAATAGACATTTATAATAATATAAAAATTTATATAAAATAACAAAAAAAATTAAGTAACAACCTCAATTTTCAAAATTTAGAATTAAATTAACAAAGATATAGGTAAAACGAAATTTCATTAAAGCTAGATAGTATAATTTACACATTTTCAATAAATTTTAATCTTATAATGTACTTAGAAGGATAATATTTTTACTAATGTTTGACTTCTCAAGTAACAGATTCTCATCTACAATATAAAAGTTGATTACTTAAAAATATAATAAAATTTAAGATTTTATAATAACAGTCGAGTTGACTCCTCTCTTCAATTTTTCTTCAAAGTTGGGCATAAAAATTTCTTATGAAGTGTGACTATTGTCGCAGTTAAGTGTCTATTATCACTCTTATTTAAATTATTCTGTCTAAAATATTTTCTTCTCCATATTAACAACAAAGACATTTCATTCAAAAAACATTTAAACGAAAATGACAATATAATACTACACGCTACTTTCTTATATGCTGATATGATGCTACGTAGTCTTTTTGATGCTTCGATTACGAAAACCATTCAGCTGAATTATTTTATGTATGAGGAAAGACAAACATTTTGGACAACTTTAACCCATTCACCGCCGCTGAAAAATGGATGCGACTAAACTGAAATAACGCTCGGAACGGGATTTACGCCGATATAGCTTCACATATTTTGTCCAATGAAATGCATGTATATTTAGCATCATGAACAAAAGACAAAACAATTGAACAATTTAGAACAGAATAGAAAAGCACGCTAAACACACCACATTATCTTAAGCCACTTCACACACTAAACTGGACATAGATGTTTGTCAACGCAGCTACAAATCATTTTGTTGCACACAGAATAATATATAACGCTATGGATTAATATCAAGGAAATCTAAAACTTGGGATTTTATGCCATTGATTCCCCAAGTAAATTAAAATACATACTTCTCCACATAATTAAGCCGGTAAGCACTTGCCAAAATAATTCATATTGCATAAACATAGTCTAGTTACGATGTTAACAGACTAGTACTTGTTCAAACCAATTTCACTGGAAATGCTATTCCAAATTTCGCCTCGTGGGAAAAACCCACCATATCAATCAAAGTACTAGAAGCATTTCAAACATTCACAATCCCAGTCTGGCATCTCCAACCACAAATTTATGTCTAAAGCATCAATCTTTCCTTAGGTCCATGTATTCCCGACGAATACCACTAGCATTTAGGATGACAATTTCAACCTTATCTCCCTGTAAAAAGATCCACGGTATGTTACAGGTTTATTCTACTGTCAAATGGAAATTATTAATGTATCATGAACTTACAGTGTATATATCTCTCTCAGTTGCAGACGCAAAAACAGTTTTGACCAGATCAACTGCTTCTGTTTCAGACAATGGAGTAACAGCATCCTACAAGAAATCATATTTTTAATGTAGGTGTTAGTCAAATAAAATTTGAATAAAAAATTTCAAGCAAACGACCAATTTCAGAACTTGACCTTGGCAGGTAAGAGAAGTGGGCTGGGAGACTTCAGCTGGTTATCAAGAAATGGCATAATGAGTGTGGATCCAGAACCCTGAGAGCTATATCCAACCCTCTCATAGGAACCAACAGCATCATATGTGAAGACACATCCCTTTCCTATTTAAGATTGAAGTTGCAATTAGCAAATCAAAATGAGGTATGAACAAGCACAGAAAGCTAGAAATACTGCACCTTCATTGTCAAGGCCACCCAAAACATTGAAAGCATAATAGGGAAAGAAACGTTTGTAATAAAGAGTGTTTGAAAGCAACTGAGCCATTGCAGGGCAGCTCATTTGCTTGTTGTGTTGATGCTGATAAATCTGCATTCAGAGTCAAAAGATGATATCATATCAGTTACATCAAAGGCTTCCAATTTTGAGTCATATTAAACTTAAAACAAGGGAGAAACTGAAAGTTTGTAACAATTTATGAGTCCAATACTAAAGTTTCCACAGGTTTACAACTAACATAAATGGGTAGCCTGGTGCACAAAGCACTAAGTCTAAGGGGGATTGATATATGTGTAATATTTAGTTGAAAACTAGGTGAAGTTAAGAGTCTTAAGACTCAGCCATTTTTTATGGTACATATCCACGTCCACCTCTTATGTTATTACTACATGGGCAGAAACTAGTAATGTATGCATTCCCTCTGAAGCATGTTTACATATTGCTTTCCCCTTTCCCTCTGACTTGTAATGTTTGTGATTACTTTATGCATTCCATGAAGACTCATCAGTCATCACTTCATTGAACACAATTCCAACTCTAAAACTGGGTAATTTATACAAATCTAAAAGTCATATCCACTGCTCATCAATTTTAAACATCAATATGGATATACAAGTTTATGATATCATGTACTTACCATAAAAATGTCTAAATCTTAAGTTTCAGAAATTTATAAAAATGGGAACTAGGTCAGTTAGGAAAGACCAGTGACAGGATAGAATTAAAAACATGATGAATTATGAGATTATTGTGATGGTTCATAAGTAACTAAGTTTAAAGTATCAGTTGATACCACTGACCCCTGAAATCTAAATGGCAAGCTGCTAGGTACCTTGGGAATTAATCTGAAACTTTTCAGCAATGTGAGAGGTTTCTACCAAACTTTGATCTTACTACACACAGTATAGGCATATCAATGAACTAAAATTGAGATGTATTCAAATGTTGAATTTTCAATTACTAAATTCTACAGTTAATGGTTCATGGTGGTTGTTCCATTTCAGTTAAGTCCAGGGCAGCACAGATTGTTTTTGGATCGCAGAAGAACAAATTACAGAAATTTTCTTTTAGTTGTGTTCTGCTTTGTAGTTTCAAAAATCTCAATTAAATATTTGGTGGATACATGCAAACGCATGTTGAGTAGAGTGGTTAAATATTTGGCAGTTGGTGGATTCTGGCGTTTAGTTGTCTGCGACTAAAATTGTAATGTCCTGAATTAGTTTACAGGTAGCATATGCATAATAAGATTAGGAGAGATGCAGCACTACTTATGAGAATACTTGTGTCTCATTTCCTAAGGTAAGAAAATAGCAAAAAGTTGTTTTAAGTGTTTCCTGTACAAATGCTTGAAAACGGGAAATAGAATAAAAGCAAGGTAACAATTTTGAATTAAAAGTGAAAAAAAAATACACATTTCTAAAACCAAACAAACCCTAAGCCAACCTAAAAGAATTTTCAATTTAAAACAGTACAATATATTTAATTTTGTTTCAACTTTCAAGTGTTGATACTCTTTGACTCACCAAATGCCTAGCAGACAAAACCTTCTGCAAAGCTTTTACATCAGCTTGAAAACCAGAAGAAGCCATCACAGACTTCTCAGCTCTGTCACCAAACAAAAACAGTGTTCACATCCTTAAACAATACCAAAAACAAAAATCTACAATATATATATAACCCGTCCCCGTCCAATGCCATGAGTAAACAAATGAACACCTCCCAAATCCCTCAACTGCGCAATAATAATCAAATCCAATTGAAACAAAGCAAAATTAAAAAAGAAAAAGAAAAAAGAGAGGGTAATATATAATAATTTATTAGAAGTGAAAACCATACAGTTGGGAGATTTTGGAGTAATCGCGAGTAAGGATGTTGTAACCGGTAGACATCCTCGTATCCGCAGCGACCACACAGTAATCCGCTCCAGCAATTGCAACACACGATCTACAACAAATAATTAAATAAATAAATACTTGAAGAGTTGAAAATATTCCATCAGGAGAAAGAGAGAGAGAGAGAGAAAGAGAGAGAGTACCCTCCATTGTTATCGTAAGGAGACCAGTTAGCATGTTGCTTTGTCATGGTTAATGAAAGTGGAGAACAGAGAAAACGAAGAAGGAAGAGTAGGGCGTGAGAAAGAGCAAGGTTTTGTTTTGTTTTGTTTCCCTTCGCTTTCTTTCACTCTACACTTTAAGATCTGTCTTTGCGAACACGAAACGAAGCCCTCTTAAACGACGTCGTCTACTTCACTCTCGTGGCATGGGCCTTTTACAGAAGAGCCCATCCCTCGGCTTGTATAATTGGGCCCGCAGAATATTATTAAAAAGCATGAAAATAATAATTAATATAAAATAATTTGTTTAATTTTAGTGCAAAGTTATTATAAATTCTTATATATATTATTAAACAAATTAAAATATTATAAATTTATTTTTATATTAATTTTTATAAAATTAATGTTCTTGTTAAAATAATAATAAATAATTAAATGATAATGTAATTTTTTTTACATTATTAATTTATTGAAACTAAATTCAAAAACATTATATATGTAGGATTGTTTAAAAGGCAGGGAATTGACAGGGTTGATAAATTTCTTTTAAGCCCTTTTTAGAAAACAATGAGCATCAATTATATTCACTCACACACACACACAGTTATAACTCATAGATAGATAATACATATTTTTTTCACATATAAATAAATTATACGATGCATTTTTATTTTAATAAAGTTACATGTTTGTCACTTGTTTAAAACAACATCAAATTAACAAGAGTAAATCTATTCCTTGTCACTTGCCACACTCATAAACCCTCACTAAGAATGTGTATTTTCTTTTCAATCCAAATTGCACTCCTTACACAACATCATGTGTGGTGCCTATCATGTCGTGAATGAAATACACTAGACCCTGGCATAGCGTGCTTACGCTTACTATGTCACACTCGAAGTTGAGACAGCATGTTTCATCTTGTGTATCAGCCATCACTCACCAATCCTTCCACCATTTCCCACATCCCAAAATAACCACGGTTCCTCCTTGCTCTTCCCAACCCAAACACCCACAACACTTACTCTCTCTTCTTCTCAAAGACCCATCTCAAAGCCAAGCCATTCAACAAGTTCACTCTCACATCATCACCTCTGGTCTCTTCCACTACGCTTCTCACAACACACTCACTTGCTTACTCCTCTTCAACAACGTTATTCGTTGTTACTCCCTTGGCCCCTTCCCCCACCAAGCTCTTCACTTTTTCACATACACCCAACACTGCCACACTTTCTTGACTTACCCTTCTCTTGACTCTTTCTCTTTTGCTTTCCTCTGCCACTCTTGTGCCCACTCAAACTACACCCACTTCGGGATTCAGCTTCACGCCCTCATTTTCAAGGTGGGTTTTCAGTTTCATGTCTATGTGCAAACTGGGTTGTTGCAAATGTACTCAAGTTGTGGTCTTTTAGTTGAAGCAGCACAGGTTTTCTATGAAATGCAACAGAGAAGTTTAGTTACTTGGAATGTTTTTATTACTGGTTTGATTAGATGGGGTGAGGTTGAACTTGCTTGTTCTGTGTTTTATCAGATGCCTGCTAGGAGTGTAGTGTCGTGGACTCTTGTTATTGATGGATACACGCGAATGAATTGGCCTATGAAAGCTTTGACTTTGTTTAGGGAAATGGTTGAATGTGATGGTGTAGAACCTACTGAAGTTACTCTTTTGACTGTTTTTCCTGCTATTGCAAATATTGGATGTGTTAAGATATGTCAATCAGTTCATGGTTATGCAGAGAAGAGAGGGTTCAATGCCTTCGATATTCGTGTTGTGAATGCGCTGATAGATTTGTATGCAAAGTGTGGATGCATAGCGAGTGCGAGTAGGTTCTTCCAGGAGATACCTGACAAGAGGAAGAATTTGGTGTCATGGACCACGGCTATTTCTGGTTTTGCGATGAATGGGATGGGGAGGGAAGCTGTGGAGAGTTTTGAGAGCATGGAAAAGGATGGGATGAGGCCAAACCGTGTGACATTCCTGAGTGTTTTGAGTGCCTGTAGTCATGGAGGATTGATTGAGGAGGGACTTAAGTTTTTTGTTAAGATGGTGAAAGATTGTCAACTTGTGCCAGATATCAAGCATTATAGTTGTGTGATAGATATGTTGGGAAGGGCTGGGAGGTTAGAGGAAGCTGAAAAGGTTGCTTTACAGGTGCCTCATGAGGTTGCCAACGCTGTGATGTGGAGGACACTTCTGGGTGCTTGTAGTGTTCATAATAATGTTGAAATTGGTCAGAGGGTGACTAGAAAAATATTGGAGATGGAGAGAGGACATGGTGGGGATTATGTTCTTATGTCCAATATTCTTGTTGGTGTTGGGAGATTTAAGGATGCAGAAAGGTTAAGGGAAATGATAGATAAGAGAATTGCCTTCAAACTTCCTGGCTACAGCTTATTCTAAAATGATATATGAGTGATGTGCACCGGAAATGGATAGATCATTGCTCTGCCTTTCTTATTGCTTGGGGGGAGGTGGTATTGAACTTGTGAATATGGGAGAAGAATTTATCCAGACACTCATCACTAGGCCAAAGGCTTATTGGTATGTCATTGCTCCTTGCTTCAGATATTCTAAACTAGCTCAAGGCATGAAATTGCGGCAAACATACTTTCAATTACTTTTCTTCAATAAATCTTGTGTTCAGCTGCATATGAAATACTTAATAAAATTATAAATAAATTTTACAGATAAACTTGTTAAATATGTTCTGTTCAAAAGCATCAGGTTCAATGAAAAGAAAATTTTTTATCAAGCTTTTGGAAGTAGAAAAATGTCCTCTCTTTGGAGTTTAAACTCTTTGGAAACAAGGTAAAATATTTTGCTACTCAGCTGATTTCTATGATATCTGAAAATGATGGACCGCGGGTTCTACCAGGATCCTTTTATTAAATAATTGATAATGTTAGACTCAATACAAAAGAAAAAAAAACACTGAATTCGGAAAATATTTTCCTCCTTCAAAACACCAGAAATAGAAATCTAACACCTTAATGACTTCTACAGGTCTGTTACACGTCCCAAAATAAATATAAAAATGACTGCCTAATCCCACACTAAGAAGTAACTGCCTAATAACTTTCGTATACAGAACTGTAATTGCCTAATTCAGAACTTGACCTATCATATGATTAGAAACTTATTTGTGCCTTGTTTTTCTAAATTTTTATTTGGTTCAAATGTATCCCATTTTCTTTTGGAGAAACTATTGAAAGGTACTAATCAGCCAAGCAAGCACAGTTTAATTCATGATATACCCTTTGCATTAGAGTTCATCAACCTATTTTTTTGAAGTCTTTCCTTTACTGCATCATTATCAGTTATCACTATCCTTTGGTTTTGATATTACTGGTAAGTTGGCACCAAGATCATACAAGTCTTCGTGGCAGTCAACAGGAACATGATCTTGTCTTTCCATCAATTAAAATTTTTTCCCTCAAACCTGTTCAACTTGATTAAGTCTTGATTCATGACTTTGCAGATTCTGCAGAAGATTCCATATTTAGGGTTTAGGGTGAAGAAGGAAGAAAATGGATATAGAAATCGTGTTGAGAATGTGAAGGGCACTGTCTTTGGGATAAACTCTGTCACACTTTTTGCTTCAAGCAATGTTTTATAAACAAAATGGAATTGAGTTCAACCATGAACGGACCATTGGCAAAACGATCAAGCCACTTAAACCACCAATTGGAAAATCAGCTCTCCAATTGTTGAACCAGCCGAAAGGTGAACCACAGAAGCTGACTCATTCTTTACAGACTGGTTCTCTGTGTGATTGTAAAATGTAGTAAATTGCATAAAAAGACTCAAAACCAGCTGTGTTAATGGGCTAGCACTTTACCAGCAGTCTAGAAGCCATTTTGTTAATTATGTTTTGGTTTTGTATATATGATAATCTTTCATCTCTTTGTACTTACGTGAATTCCGTGCCTTCATTGATTTAATGAATGTTTGATTTTAAAAATATTAGTTACAAGATTATGGCAAATCATCTATGGAATATGATCGTTGGCAGACTATCATTTAACTCCGTTTATAGATGAATGCTCGCTTGTTTTAAATTTTAACAAAATTAATTCTCAATTGTCAAATATAATTGAAATATATATATTAAAACAGATATCATGATGTATGAAATTACGTAGAAATTAATTTTACTTATAAAGCATCTAAACCAAGCAGCACCAAAGTCTCTCTATGACTTAAACAACTGGCTAAGTGGTGATTGCTGAGCGTGTAATTGCGGAACTGGGAGAAAAATATTATACATTATCCCTAATATTTGAAATTTTGCAAAATAAACACGTGAAAAAAAAACATTTCACCGATTTAATAATAATATTGTTTAACACGAAAAAAATTGTGATGTGACAATAAATAATATAGTTAAATTACAGTACTCAAAATAATTTTATTATTTAGTCCCTAAGCCCTATCATAAAGATAGTTACCATAGTTTTCAAATAAGAATAAGTAATTAAAATAACAATAATATAAATGATAATTGTACATAATACTCTCTTTACAAATTACTCACATGGTCCAAAGAAAACTAATCTGAATCATTTAAAAGAAAACAAAATAGTAAATTTTGCAAGAGGTTTACACAATCATATGGTAATCCAATCCTCCTCGTTCTGTGATCCTAACACTTATAAAAGAAAAATTGTGCAGAAAACTTTCAAAAAGGAATGGGCTGTTTGCCAGGCCATGACTCAATCTTTTCGAAATACTTGGGTGCAACAACACCATCAAAACCTTCTGTCAATATCACCTTGTTGTCAGAAATGTAAAGCTTCATACCTTCTGAAATAGGGTGAGAAAAAAAAATATAGAAGCAGCGTCAGTGGACTAGTTGATTTTACTTACTATCAACAAAGACCAAAAATGTTCAACAACTCAATATGAACTTGTTCGCATTAAGATTTAAGAACATGTTTGGAACATTGTTTGTCATACCATCTAATGCTTTTCTAACGTCTAGAAAGATCAGAACATTGACATCTCGCCTCATACCTGAGAAAACAAAAAAGAAACATAAGTGATCAGGTACACAAAGGAGCATCTAAGGGAATAACTGAAAACTGCTACAGATCATGCTACACGTTAGTTCAAGAAAGACCATTTCAAAAAATTGAATAAAATGGTCCGTGCAAAACTTTAATATTCTTAACAATTTAATATGACACAATAGTTCCCAAGCCTGTCAAAAGGAGACTTCCAATCCAATGGCCTACACCCTCCAACAGATTAGATTGAGAAAGGGTAAAGACTAAAGAGATGCTAATAGATCCAAGCTCCGGTACTTCTGAGAGAAATATTGTATCACTCAATTGTAACAAGCAACAGCAATATGATTAATCAATTGCAGACGAGAAATGATTTGTTACTAATGAAGAACTGAAGTACAGGCATTTTGCTTTGATGTTACTGATTTAACTAACCCCATATTGAGACTTTGGATGGTTGATAAATTATTATTTGGATATCTTCTATAAAACAAGTTTAGCATTCCTACCTGGACTTTTTGTAGAAGTACTAAGCAAAGGGTAGTGGGAAACAGTACAGCACAACTATAAATGTCACTTGTCTAAATTATCAATTATAATAGACATCTCTTTTGTCATTCCTTCAATATTTCAAAGTTAACCACCATCCTTAATCTTCCTGAAGGAAAATTAACTTTTGCCTAACCAAAACAAAATGACAATATCTAATAAGTTTAAATTTCTGGGCGTAAATAGGATTCTTTTTAATTTTAGATCGCATTACCACTTATTACTTCTCCATCTGTTGGCAAACCAGAAGAGAAATGAACATGCAATCTCTTCATGCGCTTCAGACCAGATCCCAGAATTGATTCCAAGTTCTTTCTGTAGGTTCCATGCACACAAACTGCATACAGCAGCAAAATCAAGCAAGTGAATTAAATAAAATAGCATATAGAAACAAAAATACAGAATATGACTTGCAAAGACAAATATAAAGATCTTCAGTAATTAGAGTTATGTGAATATAATATCAGGTTAATGATGAACCCTAAATATGGCAACATATCCACCATTCAATTTTAAATTATAAATAGGTACAGACCTAAAATTCAGTAGTGAGTATGTTGCTATGTATAGGGTTCACCATGAACAAAGTCTACGGTAACACAACTCCAAATGTCCAATAATATTGCACCTGGAATTTCTTCAGCTGAAAGGATTGGTTTCAATAAGCTTTCAGTTTCAACAGCCTACAGATGAAAAGTCAATAATAGTATTGTTAGACTAGATGAAGAAAACTGAATGACTTCACAATCTAAAGTTCAACATAACATCAGTGAGAACATTAATCTCATATTTATTTTACTGTTGAGCAGTTGGAAACAGAACAGTATTGGCGCACATCTGAGTAAGGGCAAAAGGGAGACAACAGAATTAGGAAAGGCTGTGGACAGCATTACAGACAGGCATTACATTTTCATTCACTTGACTGAAGAATTTTAAGATATCTTCCACAAAGGGAATATACAGCCAAGTGCAAAAAAGGTTGACCTCATTCACAGTATAAACCATTGATATCTATCATCAACATTTCTCAGTTTTCCAGTCAGAATGTTGTCTGTTACAATCCCAATTCCAACTAGTGTTTGTTTTGTTTAAACCCCTTCAGTTTGTATCTCCAACAACCTTAAGGCAACGTTTGGTGGACAAGTTAAAACAAGATGGAATATAACACAAGGATTTTGTTCAGTGCTTGATGTAAAAAGGTGGAACCAAAGAGAACAGAATAGAACAAACTGTTCCATTCCATTCTATTCGCATCACAAATACCACCTAAAGTCTAAAGGCATAAAAGTAAAGGAACAGCATATCATGTTACTTACATGACAAAGATAAGTTTTTTTAACATATCTAAAATGCTTTGAATTTTAACAAATAATGAAAGCAGGGATTTAATAGTGTAACACATCACTAATGAATATATCCTGTAAGTCCAATTTCCAGTTCTTATAAAGTAAATATAACACTCATGCAGTGAATGAAGGAAAGAGATAATGAAGACAGATATTAAGTATTATTCAAGTTTTATATTAATGGCATCTAAAAATGACAATGAACAAAGCAAATTTCAACAGCCAATTAGGGGCATTACTATGGTGTTATAGAATACAGACCTAATTACTTTAAGTTCAATTATTTCTTTAAAATTTTAAAATCCAATTGTATGGGTCAGCATTTGATAAAAGGGAATATTTTACTGTTAATGTGTGGCCTTGGTTTGCCCGTATCAGTAGCTCCCCATTCTCTTCTATGAGGCTGAAGCGCTGCTTATTATCCTTTCCAACAGCCTGAGGATAACCATGAGTTGATTTAAATAAACTGCTTTTTCTTTTAGTTAATTCATATGAAAATGGAATAGAAATTACAATAAATAGTTTATATCAATGACATAAATAAAAGCAAATACAAATAACATTTTAAGCATAATTTAGAGATAAAGGAGGTTATATAAGCATAATCCGTCATTTAAAAGCAACATAAGCCATAGACATTTGATAGAAACAAGTTAAGACTTAAGACTAGGTTAAAACCAGTAATGCAACTGACATGTAAATATTCCTAGTCAAATTTACTAAATAATATGTAACAGAAATAGTTGTGGAACGGATATGATAAAATGCTCACTGATAAATTGATAAAATATAATACAGAACACAAATCACACACAATACAGCAATACACTTGCGGTCCCAGAGACAAAAGTCTTCTACAAAGACTATTCTCTGTTCACAAACTGCAAATAACAACACATTTGCTTAATCACACACCCTACTATGAGATATATTCTTAAGTCCTAATACATAACTATCATTCATTATTTCCATGAATAACAGCCAATAGACAGTTTCTAAGACACAACTAATTCAAAAATGGTAACATAGAACTGCTAAGTCAGGATAGGTTATTCTCTTAACACATTTACTCCTAATTATAACTGCAACAAATCAATCAATGGATCCTTTTCCTTGCCCACTTGGATATTAGTTCCCATGAGGATGGATCAGGTGAATTCTTAAACCATATGCTGACTGCTTTTATAAGAGAAAGACAAGTATCATTCTTCTAAATTCTGAGAAGGTACTGAGATATGAAACTACTAAAACAATACAAGGAGAAAAAGTAAACTAGCATTGAAGGTTCAAAGTGTCAATAGACTCAATACAATGAATTGGTCTTTTATACTTCATGACAATAAACATCATACGAAAATGAGTCTGGCTAGTATCAAGAATATGACTATTTATATTATTTTTATATTTTCACCCAAAAGCTTCTCAAGTAATACGACACAAGAATCTAATTACAAATGAAATGGTATTGACATGACATGACTGCATAAAAAACAGAATGAGTATGGCATGTGTGGAAACAGAGAAGAAAACAAATATGAAAATAACTGACCTCCCTAATATCATCAATAGTGTGGGATCTCAGTGGAATATTAGCAAATGTCTTCAGATTCAGCTTTAGCAAATCATTTACTTTCACATAACCATCGTTCCGCATATTCAAATTCAATTCAGATGCCATATGACGTAAAATTCTTGTACTGCAGATATTAAAAAGAAAAATAGACTGAGTGAATTTGTTTCGTTCAAGAATCAAGCACAAAACAGTCTAATTAAAACATATAACAATGTTCATTCACTCTGTTGCTCAAATGCAAAGGCAAACTAATTACATAACGTTTTCAAAAGAATCTGTTTTTTGTTGGCTAAAAGTTACAAACTTTGTTTTACAAAAAATAAAAAAATAAAAAAAAATGAAATCACATTTGGTACTATAAAGTAAGAAAATAAAAGAGGAAACATTCATGATAAATAATAATTATTAAAGGGTAAAGTAGTGCTTACAGGAGCCTACCAAGAGCGTCAATTTTGTCCTTTCCTGAGGCACTCCCACCACCCCGCCCTCTTGTTCTTTCTCTGTCATTTCTCATATCAAAGGCCTTTCCTCTGCCACTGCCAGCACTGCCCACAAAATATCAAAAAACATAAACTCTGATTGATTCTGTACTATCAAATGATAAGTGAAATATATAGCAATGAATGGCACTGAAACTTATTTCACCGTATTGACAGATTCAGCACATGACTCAACAGTCTTTACACTATCTCCCTCATTAAAATAGATCTTGTCCTCAAGGTCAAAGCTAGGACAGAGGCGCACTCCGGAAGTGACTTGTATTATGCCAATTCCCAATGGAATAAAAGTTACGATACACCCACTCCATAAGTTGCACTATGCAGGCCCCACAATTCTATCACTCTAACCACTCACAAAATCGATGTAATCACAGCATTGTAATTTGTAGTAGAGGATCTCGAGCCTCAAAGTGTTGTACATATTACTGGAACACTCCCAAGATAACTACATCACTTCCCAATAGATTTTTGGATCACCAACCATGCAAACCCAACAAAATGCCCCTATTTCCCCTTCTTGAGTGGTGAAAACATCAAAATGCTCAATCACGTTTGGGAATTCAATGATTACAGCCTCCATAAACTAATCTACAATAGAAAGATAATCATCTCCAATAGGATAATAGTATTACTGCAATTCCAAATATAAGGAACAACACAGGTTCTCATCTCATTGCAAGTATCTACATCAACCATCTAGTAGCATAGAATTGAGTAAACAGCCAAGCAACACATACTATGTCCATAAAATGTAACGCTATGATTCACAATCAAATCCTTGGAAATTCGCAATTTCTCTCACCGTAAGTGAACAGCCAAAAAAACATGCTTATCGGAATATGATTGAAAATGAAAAGAGAAAGGAAAATGGATAATATTGAGGAAGGTAAAGAATAAAGGACAGAGAAGGACCTTGGAGAGGCGCGAGCGTAGGAGGAGAAGGGATTGGTGTCGTTGTCCATTGAAAGTGAAACTGAAGCCAACCTTTTAAGCAGAGGTGGAAATATAACAGGGACACGTGGAAGTACACGTGGAAGCATGTGAGCCCAGTGGCGTAGAATAACGGTGCTGTTGTTGGTCACCGAAGCAAACATGAATCACAGCCACGCCAATAACTTCTCCAGCAATACTGTTCCCACCGCCACGCTCTGCCCCTTCCCCTATGTTTCTATCATTTAATTAATGTAAATCACAGTTATCACTGTGCTTATCTCTTTCTTTTTTAATCCACAATATATAACTTTGTTTCCAGTATTAATCTTGTTTTTATATATCTTTTTAATAATATATCTTCTAATTGTATGTAGCTATTGATATCACTGTGCTGTCATAAGATTATTTTTATCAATTCAAAAGTTTTAAAAAAAAAATTGTACATAAAAAAGTAAAATTTTGGCACCGTTAATTTAAATAAATTTTTTTATAAATTTAAATTTAAATTAATAACATGATTCTTATTTTTTTAGTATTTTAAACTCTTTTTTTTTGTCAACACACTTCTCTTTAATTTAGATGAGCCCTAGTTCATACGACTCCATAGTTACTTTTTTTTTTTTAAACGGGATATTATTCGTAAACTAAAAATGTATTTAAATGTGATATTTTTTTAATTGAATATTTATTTAAAAATTATAATTTTATAAGTTAAAATTTGTTGTTTAAACATTTAATTTTAAAGAATTTAAAATTTTAAGAACTTGAGATTTTTAAAAGAATAAAATTTCAAAATTATAAATCCCAGTAAAAGAGTGATAATGTGGAATTGCTATTTCCATTTATTGTGTACTATATTTAAATTTTTATTTAATTATGATTTATTTAATAATTATATTTTTCATTAATTTTGTCTATAATTATAATTACTTTTTAAGAATGTAAGTAATTTAATTACTCTATCCAAATAAAAATATTTAAATTAAAAAAAATTAATAATTTTATTTAAATAAAGTATTTTAAAATAAAACTAAATAAATGATGTAATTTAAATTTCTTTAAATTTAAAATTCTTTAAAATTTTTAATTATCTCGTTTAAATGCAACTTTGTTTATGTGCAAATTTACAAAAGAAAATATTTTTTTATAGCTTATATTTAAATGCAGTGAAGCTTTCAATTATTGATTGGTTAGGACTTAAGAACATTAAGCAACATTAATTGAAGTGAAAACTTGCATGAAACGGCAGTGTATAGTCATTGTGACATCCTCACACTTATTTGAAGCCATAAATCAAGTTGAAAATACCAATATATTAAAGTTCATAAATCAAAAGTATTTGAAACCATGAGAATTTGCATTAGGGTAGCAGTTTACTGGTACTGACACTTATTTTTGGTAGCTCCTCTTATGCCATATTCATATAACCTATATTGCTACCAGCATGCCACCACCTAATGTAAGCAATTTTTATCCTATATAAACTATAATTTAGAATACCTAACTAATACCTATGACTGAACATGAACAATCATTTCTTTTATTATCTATAATCTTTTTATCTTTTCTAAACATTTCCAAAAAAACTAACTAGAGTTATTTATTTTTATTATTTAATATTCTTATTTTTCCGTGCAATAACTTTTTTTAAATGAATTAATTAATTTATGGTTTAAATATTTTTTTCTCCATTCATAACATATTTATTTTATTTGGTCCATGTATTAAAAAAAAGTTTATAAATAAGTCTTTGAAGACTTTGTTTTAGAGTTTAGAGAAAAAAAAATTTGAAAAGTGAGGAAAAAAAAGAATAAAGAAGAAAAGAGATTAATACAAAATATTTTTAATTAGAAAATTTTAATATATAAAATTAAGAGAGTTTATAAACTCTAAAAACCTTTAAACTACGCATTACATGAGTCTTTTTCTTTCTTTTTCTTTTTCTTCTCCCTAAAAACTAAATCTTAAACAAAACTTTGGTGAAAAATTAGTTATAAAATAGTCTTGTCATTATCATGTTTTATATAATTCTATTTATTTTATTTTAGTCCTTATATAAAACAAATTATAAAAAAGAAAATGTGAATAATTGAATGTATTTAAAAAAATAAAAATTAATTAAATGATTTTCATATTAATTAGGGTTATGAAACTAAGAAATATTGATTAACTTAATCGGCGGGTTAGTGATGAACGTAATTTTGGGGGTTGAAAGGGGACGGAAAGACTTTGAAAGAGTGGAATTTGGGCCCAAATTTGAGAAGTGTGAAGTGCGGGCGTATTGAAATGAAAATGAGTTAAGACTTTAAGAAGAGCGTAGAATAAACGATGAATAACTTGAAGGAAACGGCAATATGGATATGAGTCGGAATCAGCCACACAAGTCACTGTATTGCACTTTCTTCCGAATGAAGAAGTTGATAGGAAATTGGGAACACATTTTGCATTTTAACTTGTATTATTGTTTGGGATAAGGAAAATTTTCTAAGTTAAAAAGGAAATTACATTTCAACAAGTTTTGAGGGTCAAGAAGGAGCTAAAGATAAACCTGAACATAAGAGAATATTGGAAGATCTTTGGTTTTAATTAAAAGGAACACATTTCCTAAGACCACAAAACTAAAGGCTTTTTCAAGAAGTTTTGAGGAGTTTTTAAGTCATTAACACCAAAAACTACTCCAAAAATAGAACTGGCAAGAAAATATTCCAAGTCCACAAAACTGATGGTTTTTCGAGGAGTTTTTAAGTCCTGACACCCAAAGCTGCTCGAAAAACAGGACTAACAGGAAAATATTCTAAGTCCACAAAAAATTGATGGCTTTTCGAGGAATATTTCATGAGTTTCCAAGTACCTGACACCCAAAACTGCTCGAAAAGCAGGAAGTGGTAAGAAAATATTCTAAGTCCACAAACTTGGCTGAGTTCCAGATTTCCTCCAGAATTGCTCGAAAAACAAGAAGTGGTCAGAAAATATTCTAAGTCCACAAATCTGGGCGAGCTCAAGAGTCCCTCCAAAATTACTCGAAAAACAGAAATGAGCAAAGAAAATGTTCTAAATCCACAAGACCCAGACAGACTCTCAAAACTCCAGAATGGCTCGAAAAGAGAAGCCAAAAAGAAACTATTCCAAGGCCATAACATTAAAAGAGTTTTCTAAGTTTCTCTCAGAAATACTCGAAAGATAGGAGTATTGAAAAATCCAAAAGCGGTTACCAGTAGTTATCAACATTCACCACTACGCAAAGGAGATCATGGGCGATAGCGGTTACAGCCCCAACAAACAGCACGATCACAAGCAATCGTGGATAGTGAGCATCAACAGTTGAAGGCAGTTACTAGGAAGTGTCCGCAAAAGGAGGAAAACAGTGGTGATCTTCATGTCTATAAATACTACAAAGCATTATTTTAGAGAGGACGACTTTTTGCACCCAGACACCGCACCTAAACATTCTGAGACGCTGAAACCCTGCACCGCGCCAGACACCAGCTACAAGGAGACCTATGGTGGCCGCTGTTCGCCGTTGTGAGGAGTCGTACGTTTACATTCACGCACCTTTAAATTCCTGCACATTTCCATTCCTGCATTTCAATTCAAGTTGCTTTGTTTAAATTGCTTTTGTTCCTGTTTCTGCAATTCATTTCCTATTTTATACTCTTCTATAACCAACTTCTACGTTAGTTATTCAATTCTGTACAATTACTATTCCCTATTCTTGCTTAATACTCTTTTTCGCCGTTTATTTGAGCATCACGTTAACAACACACTTAAAAGAACCCAAAGAGGACCTAAATCCAGTCCCCAGATTGATCTTTGGATTATTTGTTTACAAATTGTCATTTTTCGCCGTAAACAAATTGGCACGCCTGGTGGGACAATATTGTGTGTTTTGAATGATTGCTTGCTTTGTTGCATGATATTACGTAATGGACGTTGTATTATGGCTAATAGAGGAAGAAATAGTGATTCTAGTTTTGGGAATGGCAATTCCAGAAGTGATGATAGTGATACTAACCTAGATGTAAGCGGCAGTACTACTCCTGCCGCACAACCCACACCAACGACGGCGTTACCTACGCCGTCATCTCCCGTAGTTAGCCAATTTATGGCTACTATGCCGCCAACCAATCCCAGCATAAATCCTGGCCCAAGGCCAAGGCTGGGTGATCACCCATTTGGCTTACCTCCCGTGTGTATGCCTCCTATCTATGGAGTACCAACCTACTCTAACCCTGTGGTGACAACCGTGTCACCCCAGAGTCACACCATTCCACCAGGAATGGGTGTACTCCATACTATTCCACCGGGAATGGGTACGATTGGTGGAGTACCTGAAACGCAATTTGCGTTTGGAGCTTCGAGTGGGGATTCACTTCCTACTAGCTCGTTTTCGAATGTTGCCTTACATTCCATGAGGCAACAAATGGATGAAAGCAATCACGAGATGGTCAATATGCTGACTCATCAAATGACCACTGTGTTGAATCCCATAGTGGAAACAACTAATACCAGCTATCAAATTTTGGCTGAACAAATGCGTCGAATTGCTGACGTTTTTGGGGCACCTCGAGTCCCTATAAGGCAAGGGCAAAATGTTGCCCAAACACCTAATCAAGATGCTACAAATCTTGGTCGAAATGGTCAAATTTTCGAGCAAAATAGACCAAATTTTGGTCCAAATCTTCCGAGACAAAATGAGGGAAATTTTCAGGTAGACCAACCCCTAGTTTTTGCTCGAAATCCAAATGCTCCGTTTGAGCAAATTGGTCGAAATCTCGACCAAAACCTTCTGAGACAAAATGAGGGTGATTTCAAGGGAAATCAACCCTTTATTATTGCTCGAAATCAGAATGCTGATGAAATACTTGAGCAAGTTAGGCAAAATAATGTAGGGGGGCATCAAATTCAATATCCAAACAACCCGAATCCTCAAAACATTGCCAATGTAGTCGAACAAGTCTTGAATCAACATGGGTTCGACGTAGGGTATGCTAATAGACCCTACTTTGTCTCAGCATTCTCTGAGGCAATTTTGCAGGCTGAACTGCCTCGGGGCTGGAAAGTCCCAAAATTAACTAAATTTGCCGGAGATTCCGGTGAATCTACAGTAGAACATATAGCTAGATACGCCATAGAATGTGGAGATTTAGCTCGAAATGAAGATTTAAAGTTAAAGTACTTTCCTAGTTCTTTGACTAAGGGGGCCTTTACCTGGTTCACA